TCAGGGAAAGTCCAAGCCAAATGTAAACTCAACTTACTGTGATATACATTTTATTATTTGCAGTAAGCAAAATGCTGTCAAAGGGAAAATGTGGGCTTCCTTTTTATTGAGCTGTAAAAGCTTCTTATCCTAAACATTCTTCCTGATACCTATACTGAAGCATAAATTAGTTTCTCATAAAAAGCTCTATGGTTTCTGTATAATATATATAATGGGTGTTAAATGCAGCTAAACATAATCAATCCGAGACTGTGTTTTGTTTTGTTTCCCCCCCCCTTCTCAGATGATCTTGTCGCATCACTCTGATCTCTTCCCCAAAATGTTTTCCTCTCTAAATTTTAAGGACATAGTTTCTTTAGCCTCTCTTTGCTTGTTGCCTTGCATTTTTAAACAATTGTCGTCATCCTGCAGGAGGAGAAGCAGAAGAAAGGTCTGGCAGCGAAGCTGGAGCTGGCTAAGTTTCTGCAGGAGACGATCGCTGAGATGGCTCGAAGGAATAAAGCAAAGTCGGACGATGAGGCGCAGCGCTTCTCCACATATGTTCAGGAGGTGAATGACAGCAAACTCGTTGCTCTAACGTTGTTACTGATCCGCAGTCACGTGTTTGAGGGATGACTGAAGAAGCTTTACTATAGTAATGCGTCCGTAACTTTCCATTTCAGGTTCGGGGCACAGGAGAGCAACCCCAAACGAAGGACATTGTCCGCTTCTCCAAGCTGTTTGAGGACGAGCTGACGCTGGAGCACCTGGAGCGCCCCCAGCTGGTGGCTCTGTGCAAACTGTTGGAGCTGCAGCCTATTGGCACCAACAACTTGCTGCGCTTTCAGCTGATGATGAAACTCAGAGCCATCAAGTCGGACGATGAGGTGAGACTGAGCTCCGCCACCCGAAAGCTCGTTACCACAAGTTTACAGCTGTGACTAGGAGAGATACACAAAGGCTGTAAAACTAAACAACCATTAATCATCTCGGGTGACATCACAGGATGGGTTTAATCATCTGCCAGTTATGATCAGATTATCCTTTTCTCTTCTTTCCTGCTTTACTTAGTCTCTGATGTTACTGCACATAAAAATAGTGCATCTTTAACAAGAAGTAAATCTGTAATAAATGTCTCTGACTTGACTTGTTTGAGATCAGTTTTACTACAATGTTTCTTTTTAAGGTAGAAAGTTCTGAAACACCAAATATATCCTCTTTTTACTGTGCTGCATATGTACACAGCTGCTAGACATACGTTGATCAAGCTAAAGAGTAACTTTTCTCATGCTTCAGCTTTTCACTTCCTCTTTCATCCCTTCACAGATGATTGCGGCCGAGGGTGTGGCGGCCATGAGTGTGTCAGAGTTGCAGGCAGCGTGCCGCATTCGTGGGATGAGGTCTCTCGGTCTTACTACAGATCAGCTTCGTGAGCAGATGCAGCAGGTGAGCAGCCGGTTTTTAACGTGTTTTCTTTAAGCGTTCGGTTGGGAGTCGCCCACAGACAACGCTGTTTGAGGTCAGCTGGAGCAAAATGGTTCAGATTTGCTCTTGAAGACAAGTTTATCTTAGAGAAAAATGAGGAGTACTGTAGGACATGATGGCAAGTTATTGGTCCAGTTATTGGATC